GCCCTGAACTAGGGAGGCAATCAACCCTGTGTGACGGCCTTGAATGATGACTCAGAAACTAGACCAGGATTTAAACACTTCAATGTGCCTACACTGAGAAATTTCTTTATTTGCTAAGATAAAATTTTTATGTAACTATATTATAACCTCAAACTCTAATTAGCACTGGGAAAATGAGATTACAACAGCAAAATGGAAATCTGGTTGACATGGTAAAGAACCTTTCTGTACATAATCAACTTGGACTCCAGGCAATACTAAATTATAACTCATAAATGTTTTTGGCTCCTACCCTGTCTTATTTTTATAATAGTTATGCATTCAGAAAACATATGCATTTACAAAAACATCTTGCAGTTATAATTTAGGTTTTCAGATGATACTACATGTGGTTTGGCTCAAAAAGAGATAAATATTCTGGTCTGAAAAGATAATCCACTAAAGCAGAAATCCATTGAAATGCTAACATTATTGCAACCAAATTTTTTACATTAGCACATTACCTAGGAAAGTTCTATGCCAGTATAAAATATCGTATGCCTTTAATTTAAAAGTCTAAGTGTAATAGTCTAAATGAAATTCTTCTAATTTAAAATAAATCCTGAATATGCTAGATTCAAGGCACTACGTACTAATAGCTTTTCTTGTCTAATGATAATTTCTGTAATATTTTTCATTATTCCTGATTTTTCCCAATGCACAATTGTTCTTCTGTTCTAATCACTTCAAGTTTTACTTTATTTTTTTTATGTATCTGGTAGTCTTATTGTACCATATTATAAAGCTACATGCCATATCACATAGCTAAGTATTTATTCCATAGAATGCTATACCGCAAGACATGAACACCGGTATATAAACTGCCAAAACCAGTATTTGTTTCCTATGGAATGTAATAATAATAATGATAATAATAATTTGATAGGACTTACACTAAAATTTTATTTATTTTTTAATCCTTTTTTCAAAAACAGTATATAAATATTCAATGTAAGAAAGCTGTATTTGTTGAGATAGATGCCTTGCATATTACATCTCTTAGAGTTAATGAAGTTACAATCATACCTGAAAATGTAACAGTTGTTAAAATTAATATTGGGCTGACACATTGTTTAATACATTTTTCTATGACTAGGAAGCCTGTAGTAAACTGATTTGCTAAGCAATATGTTATGTAAATTTTCCAACTTACATAGTTTTCTCAACTCTCTGTTTTAAATATATCACAGTAAATGCTCATTTTTTTTCAATTATCTTCTGAAATGATATCATTATTGAGCTATAACTAAGCAATTAAATTTGATTTGTAGCTACATTTATTAATTAACCTTAACATTTTCCAGAACAGTTAATATTAGACTTTGGAAGACCAAACAATATTTTGTAATAATTAGTACTACTGAAATGGTATCATTAAAGAACAATAATTAGTAGCATTTCAAATTTGTAGATATCACCCACCAAACCACAAATCAAATTAACATATTCTTGATTTGTTTTTTATTAGCTGTTAACATTATACAGAATTCCTTGTTGAATTTCCTAATTGAATGATGTTGAAAAGTTAAGATTAGTTGGCATGGATTTAGGATTTTTCATTGACTGTGCTTTCACAAAAGCATATGATAGTTGTTAATTTTATCTATTTAGTGGATTTTTGCATTATAATTTTAAAATTTTATTTTACTGAGAATCTGTTTTATCAGTGCTTTTTCTGAAATACAATTTTCATTTTAAAAAGTCAGGTTGAAGTGATTCAAAGAATTTATGTAAGAATATGAATAAATAGATACAGACATCCTTATAAATTTAAATGACCTATTCTACCCTAAAAAAAAGATAAATGCTTAAGAATCCTTAACACCTTTACCTACAAACTAAAATGTTGATGCATTTTTGACAAAAGCTATTAGATGCTGGGACACCAACATAATCTAACTTAGACTAACAGTTAATATTTTAGTTTTGTCCTACATTTACAAAGATTGTGGTTCCATGTAACTTAAAATGTTATTTTTGGATTTAATTTTTTGTTAGAAAAATGAATACATGTTGAAAAGAATTTTTTTTTAAAAAAATGAGAATTTCTTTTGTTTTTGTAGTCAAAGAATCATAAAGCTGGACTGCCATTTATTCTCCATCCCTGATCAGATTGGACTGTGTCTACCTTGATTAATAGACTGAAAATTAGATAACCTTTAAATCCAAAGCTTTTGTACAAATCTCTTTATAGCACCTTGAAAAGAATCACCAATCCTGACTTTAATGTACAGCATTAAATAATCAAACAAGAAGATTTTTCATAGTATTTAATAAAGCTCAGTTGTGTCAAGAGCCCTTATCTATGTATGATAGGTTTTGAAGGAAACTACCCCTAAGATGAAGATATCAAATCATTCTTGAAGATAAGTTGGGGGTTGAGTCTACAGAGGCAACTTCATTGCAGAATGAAAAACTCCTTTGTGCTTGAATCTGACTATACGGACCTGGCGTTGGACATGATCACCAAAGGAAAAATAATCCATTAAAAAAACGAGAGTAATGGTTTCTAAACTGCTAAGAAGCCAGCACAACACCACTTCTTTGATAATTTCTTTTTCTGGAAACATTGTGCTTACCTTAAAGCCACACAAACACATGAATGTAACCAATGGATCTGTTAAACATGAACAATGCCTGCCAATAATAAAACTCTATTTAAAGTCAAGACACATCTTTAAAATTAAAATTCCAGAAAGAAAAAAAAATGTAGGGCTTCAACTTCATTTCAGTTATAAATAAAATTCTTTACCATTTAACAATTTTTACATTTCATCTTAGTGAATAAAAAAGCCAGATATTTTTATAGAAAAAGAAACCATGATTGATCTAGACTGCCCTCATGAATATAAGTACAGAGATGGCATTTATTTTATCAAGTTCTACCAATTCCACCAATTCTTACAACTATACAAAAGAAATATATATATATATATATATATATATATATATATATATATATATATAAAGATGGACTTTGGCAATATTCCTTCTTTAATCAATTTAATTCAATAGGGTGAGTGTTTTTAATGGGAGTTTGGCAAAATAAATTATTCCATTGAATCACTGTCAATCTTTTTATAAAACCTTCTTCTTCTACATATGCCACCTAAAATAAGATTATTTATTCATGGTTTGATAAAAATCTTGGATAGCAAAGTAGATAGGGAAAGCTTGACTCTCAAATAAATAAGCGGAGAGCCATTATTCTTGTGAGAAAGCAACATAAAATTTTCATGAGAAAACATCCTAAGTCAAACAAATGAGGAAAACAAAGCACCACTTTAGTTATATTGAAGGGCTACCCTTGTGAGTACATTACACTTTCACATAGATTCCAAGTGCTATCTACTACGGGAAGGCTCAATAATTGAAATGATCAGAAAATATAATGCAAAATAATTCCTAGCAAAGGAATAAGGGTTAAGTGCACTAACCTGGGCAAGATCACATTCAATAACCTTTTTTTCTTGAGTATTCAGGACACTAATTTGCTACTATATCCTGTCTTTCAGGAAAATAAGTGTCCCAGTGAAACCCATCACAGTAAGTGGAACATTATCAACATAAGAACCAACATAAAGTAGACATTAATCAAACACTGTTGCCCACCTACACACATCAGAAGATGGATATTATAATCTCTGCTTTGCTGAACTTCATTGTGATACTGTACTAAGTAACTTTGCATCTCTTTAACATAATGGCAAAGAGATGTAAGGACCCTGGAAAGCTTTTTCAAGAAAACCTGTTCCCTCTGATCATCTCCCATCTTTTTTTTCCCCTACATATTCAAGAGGAGAAATTTCATACTTGGAGAGCATGTATCTTGCCATTTGAACATATTATATACCACTAGAACCATTTTTTAAAACTAATTATAGTTAATATATTTATTTATCTTTCTTGAAATTCCTAAATTGTAAATGCTTCAAAAACATAATCATTCACCATAATATCCTTTGTTATACTGTAGATAATACAGTGATAACACAGTTTCTGGTTCTTGTTCATCCCTCCTTCCTTCATTTATCTTATTCCTTTTCTCTTTACCTCCTTCCCTCCCTCATTCTTGGACACTGGTCCTTGAGTCAAATTCCCTGGCTGCTTCTAGTGAATTAAGTGCAAAGCCCTCTCTAAGGCAAGGAAGGAGGAATGTCTCTCTCGATGGCAGCTCTCAGTGGAAGAATCACTTCATAACACTCAGTATTACAACTGTAAAGTGCCAATAGGGAGAGTAAATTGTTCCCTACTTCTTTCTCTGACCTGTTCCCCATCAACTAGGATGCTTGGACAGAATCGTATTTCTCTCCTCATCACTATATGAGCAGGGTAAAAGGGTTTATGAAATCATACAAAGTAAAACCAGACTGGAAATAAATAATGGATATATCCTCTTCTCGTGATAGCATAACACTGAAGAAGCAGGGTTGGTCATTAAGTCATAATTAAACACTAGCATACAAGCAGAGACATTATATTGTCATAAAACCACAATGTCAGATGAAAACCACAGAAATATTTCCACTCAGTCCTAGTAGCCAGGAAATTCTTTTTAGAGGCTTTCCCAATTTGTACTCAGCAATGAAGATAGGGACCTTTTGTGATGTGTTAAATATTCCTTTTCTGTATATATACTGTGTGATCCAAAATAGAATACAGAATTTTCAACCCATCTTAAATGATCTGCTAACTTACGTCACAGGCTTCATTTTATCATGGCCTACAGTGTACTTAAATATGTAAAAAAGACAAAAGTAAAAAAAGATCTCAATGTCAAATTAAGATCTGTGTCTAGTACCAATTGATAGGTTTCACCCAAACGAGAACTGATACTTTGAAAGGTGTCTTCCATAATAACTATTCCGTTTCTTTTATGTCATTTGGTTTAAAAATATGCACACACTCTCGCAGTTATGCACTCACTCAACCATACACACAAACATATAAAAAGAACTTACACAATTTCATCGTTCTGGAATTCCAGCTCTCCACAAGTGTCCTCAAAGTCCTCCCCTCCACCTCTGGCAGTCCCTTCAATGGTTTTATAGGGAACGATAACATTTCCTCGAGCTCCAGATGTTCTCAATACCTTCACCTCCATGATGCCAATGCTCTCACTCACGTGAGTCACAGGTTCCTCAAAAGTAAAGATGCCTGCGTGGTCATCATCAAAAATGGTTACAGTGGCCGTGGAGGGTGATCCGAGGCAAGCAAGAGTAGAGATGTGATTGGCTTCCAGGATGCCATCTTCTGAAGCTTCAGAGGATACTTTGACATTGCTGAGGTGCACAAGGAAATTTTCATCCTCCTCAAAGATGTCGTCATCGATGATGCCAACTCTGATTTCCTTCTGGGTCTCGCCAGGTTTAAAGACCACAGTTCCTTCAGTGAATTCATAATCAGACCCAGCGTTGGCCGTGCCGTCCTCTGTTCTGAAGTCAACGAACACAGTGTTGGTCAAATCCCCACCTCTGCGGATAATGGTCAGGGCCACAGTACCACAGTTCTCCAGACACTGATATGTCCCTTGCTCGAAGAAGACCTTGCTCACCGGGTCATTTTCGGCCACTTCCGTGTTGACCTCGTGCATGCTGACAGCCTTCCTTGCTTGGTCAGCTGCATGCCTCTTTAAAATGTTGCCAGCTCCGGTCATCAGGCGAGTAGCTTGGATGCGGTAAAATGCTCGACTTTTTTGCTGCTGACTTAGGACTTGGTAGTTGGCTAATTCTATTAACTGCTCTATTTCTTTCTCTGGATGTTTCTGCTTCAGTTCCTTCAGAATCCTCGCCATTTCTCGCCTAGCCTCTTCATCATCTTGGTCCCTCTCATCGACCTCCAGAACCAAAGCGCCATCTAAGAAATTGTCAACGTGAGAGTTGACTACTTTCCCATCCATTTCGATTTCCGTTTTGGAAGATGGCCGGTCCCCCTCGTGTTCAATGATCATTCCCCTCTGCTTGCCAGCCCGATACCGCTTGTAGACATACTTGTAAAACAGCAGCCTCCTATCTGCTACCCAGGCGAACACCACACAGATGGGAAAGAAGAAGAAAGTAAGCAAACCTTCCCAGACCTCCACAACACCAGGAGAGATGACAGACAGAATAATGTACAGCCAGGTATAGGCGAAGATGCTCCAGGCTGCCGTCACGAAGAACACGCGCAGATGCTTAATCTTCCTCGTCTCTCCATCAGGGACCACGTAAACACAAAGTGCAATGATGATGAACATGTTGAAGGCAGCACTTCCCACAATGGTGCTGGGCCCCAGGTCTCCGGCAGTGAAGTTATGGCCACACACTTCAATAACTGAAAGCAGAATCTCAGGAGCAGAAGATCCCAGGGCCATCAAGGTCAAGTTGGATACAGTCTCATTCCAGATCCTCACAGTTGTCTTGGTGGTCTCCCCATTGGGTTTCTTTATGGTTATTTCTTTTTCTTGGGATGTGATGACTTCAATAGAGGACATGAACCGGTCGGCAATGATAGAGACTCCCAGAAACATGTAGACCATGGCCACGAAATACACAGTAGCTCTAGCAATCTTGTCTCCGAAGGAAGGGTCTTGGGGCTCCCAAATAGGCAAAATCACCCCTTTCTTGCAATAATATGAGCCGGTACATTCAGCGGTATTGTTTCCTCCTCCTTCCATTTCAGTCTCAGCAGTTATATGGTCCACGTGGGAAAATAAGAAAGCCATCAGAGCTAACAGATGAAATCCCATTGAAAACATGGGTGAGAGGCTTAACCGAGGCATGTTGTACAAGGAGACGTCCAACTGTCCTGACCTGTTGGTAAAAAGAAGATGGGGGCAGGGAGGGTAGAAAAAAAATCACATTATTAGATCCAAATCCAAAGCACGATTAATACCTTTAACAAAAATTTGTGTATGTTTGACCATCACAACATCTCTGGTGAATCATCACTAACCTGACTCCATCAGTGATTAAGCAATCCTTTGTGAAATTTACAATTTGGTCTCTCTGTTTGTGAATTTTCTACATGTAATTCCATTCACTGAGCAAGACTCACAACTGACTTCCTGGAAATGAAAAGTTCAATTTTAAGCCTGGCCTAATTAAGCACACATTTATGCATACTAATGGGCAACAAGAAAGATAAACAAAACTTTTGAAGCCTTAAACAATCGCCTCCTTGTTGCTAAAGCAGATTTTTTCTTTTAAATTTTGGTTAGTTCATTATCTTCAAGGACATTTTTCATTGAGAAAATCACTTTATTAAGATTTGTGCATTGAAATTCAGACTCGGAAAAACAACTACCAAAACAAGGCGTGGTGATGATCTTAAATTTGGAAGTACACCTTACACTGTATTTCAAGAAATCACACCCTACTGCTCTAAACTGACTTGGAAACAGAGAAATCTCTAGGTCTGCCTGCAATCAAAGCTCAATGGTATTTATTCTCAAGAGGAAAAAAAATTCCCCTGTAATGCAATATTTCCACACATTAAGTACAGGTTTTAAAAGCATGTTTTAATGAGAGCACATTTCCTCCTAATTTTCAGCAACCAAGGTCTCCTGATATATTAGCAACTGGGAATCTAGTACTTTGAGAACAGCCCTTCATATTTGTATACATAGCCTGCTTTACAATCTGCAGGCTGTCCCCAACAGAGAGGAGAGATAACCAGGTCCAGGCCTGGTTGTGTGTAAGACCCTGGCAGGCTGTGAAATCGGCATTACCAGCCATAAAATGTTCCTTCTCAGTGTCAATGTCATACTTTCCATGGTCATTCCAAAACACACATTAGTTCTATAGTGGGCTCAAGTGACTAAAATATGCAGGAGCAATGATTCCATCTAAATTAGCTTATTTGGCATAGCAACAGTAACCACAAAGTATATATATATGATGAAGGGCTGTAGGCAATTACAGATATGGCAACAGAGTCCTACTGAGGAGCACAGAGAATGAAATGGCAAGCAAAGTAGTGGACAGAGCGACCACAGCCCTAAATTCAACCACCAGATCATGCAAAACTCTGTTCTGACCTCACGTCACCTCTGCTTCTAGGACCTGGGGCATCAGGACTCGGGTAAAAGGGGTAGGGAATGGATACTGAAATACAGGAAGATCCGGAAGGCTTTGAAGGAGGCCAGTTATGACATCCATAGCACACGGATAGGAAATTAGTCCTGAGTCAGAACATAGCCCTGTGGCCTAGAAAACGTTAAAAGAGGAGCTGGGTGAGAGGCTCTCAGCTCCACGCTGGCTGAGAGCCAGCCACGTTTGCCTATGTTTGCTGCTGATGGCTTGCACTGAAAACCACTCCCAGGTCCCAGGAGAATCCCTGTGGCCAGCACATTCTGGAAGACCCTTGGAGATCCTACCATGGCCTCAAGCCCTTTTTAGGTCATCTCTATTGGGAGGTAGGCTTCTTTCATATTTCTCCCATATTGAAGAAGACCAGGAGAGGGTAAAAGGCTGACAAATGAAAGAAACACATTTACAAAAGCATTGCAAGAGTTCATGGTCAACGTGTGTCTGTTTGTTTAGCCTTGCAGGGATTGGGTGGTTTGTGGGATCCCTGCTTAAAACAAGGTAACATTCAATTTGCCTGCAAGAAAAATAGGAGATCTAGTTCTAAGTCCCTTATGCATCAATTTTTTCCACAATTGTTTATATGTGCTTAATATGAATTTTAGAATGACTCATTAGGCTCTCTTCTAGACCTAAGAATTCACCAGTGAATAAAACAAAGTCTCTGTCTTCTAAGGCATAAGTGAAATATCAGGTGGTAAAAAGTGGTACAATGGGGGAAGGACAGAATCAATCTAAGAAGGACAGTGTGTGTGTGTGTGTGTGTGTGTGTGTGTGTGTGTGTGTATTCATGCACACATAAGTTAGCATGATTTTACAGTTAAGGAAGGCGGCTCTGATAAGAAAACATTTGAGCAAAGTCCTGAAGGAAGCAAATGATCAAACCTTGTGGGTATTGCAGGAAGAGTATTATGACAAAGTACAAAGGTCCTGATGGTAATGGTGCAGAGAAACCAGTGTGGAGGAAGGGCCATGCAGGAGTGTGAATGCAAAGGGAACAGATCAGGGGGTCACTGAGGCCACTGTAAGGTATTGGCTTTGAAGAGGAGAGAGACAGGAATCCCAGGGGGTTCTGACCAGAGAGTAATATCTGGTTTTCCTTTTAGAACAGGCTCTCTCCTGGTTTAGTAGAGAGATTGTAGGGGATGGGAGGAAACAAGGAGACCAGCTCCTGCCTACTATATGAAGATCTGATTTCTAAATGATCCCAATGCCTGGCAAGTATTCAAAAATGAACGAGCAGACAGCTAGCATTTAAAATGGAGAAGAAACATTTGTAGCTATCCTTTTAGTAGACTGGCAACTTAAAATGTCTTGGAGACTGATAAGGATCAGAAAGGTTAAATATTTGTAATAAATAACAGTACTGAAGAGAGAGAGTAAACACTGAAGAAAGATTCAAACCTGTGTCTGTCTCCAAGCCTGATATAATTAACCACTCCTTCAAATCACTGCCAAATTCATCATTCTATTTTTCACATTTCAGCCAAATTGAACTTGCTAAGGAACAGATATTACACTATGATTCTGCTTAAAACTCTTTGTAGGCTGTCTTTTGCCTCATGTCCAGTGGTAAAACCCCTCAATAGTCTGCTCAAGACCCTGTATGATCTAACCTCTGTGCTCCTGAATGCAGAAATTCTTTTAATTCCCTAAATAAGGCACTTTCTTACTTGTAGGCCTTTGCAGACTGTGTTCTTTCCTCAAAATATTTTCCTTCTTAGAATCAAGGTTCAAAAAAAGTATAACAAATCACAATTTCTTGAGAGACTAATATTGAATTCCTTTCTTAAAACTGTTATAGACATCGAGCTAAATTCTTTACATGTATCAATTATATCTAATATTTCTAATAACAAGCACTTTTGTGTCACACAACTTTTAGTGTTTCTATTTCCATTTTGGTCTTTGCAAACAGCACCCCCTGGAGTTGTGCAGAGGGTAGTGCACTAACAATAGCCCTATCCAGTAGACACTCATTTTCAAAGTGGGATAACTGAGGAGTAGACTAGTAAAGAACTTGTTCAAAATCATACAGAGAGCAAACTAAGATTCACATCCTGGTCTGCTTCCATTAACTGTTCCATTAGGTCATCCCTGATAGTTGGTAAAGTAATGCTGGACAATTGTTGGATTTGGGCTTGAACTAGCCCATTGAAAGCCTCTTGGCTTCTATGCAGGTTAGGAGAGCCCAGTTAGCAATAGTCTCGTGGAAGGTTTCCAACAGCCTGGCTTTTATCTTATGGATTAGAGACTCAAGCAGACAAGCATCAATGACTGTGGTGTATAGCATGAGGGCTGGCATGTTCCGAGAGACAGCTGCCCTATGCTCCCAGCCCTTTAGCAATTGCCTGGCAACCTTTTCCTGCGTGCACAGTCAGGGCTCTCTCTTAGGTCGGCCAAGAAAAAGTCCTGCCCTCCATCTCTGCCCTAGACCACATCTCACAATATGTTTTTAGCCAAATGAGGACCAGATGTGTAAAAATGGATGGATTGGTGAAAATCCGTCGTCATTATTGGGGAAAAAGGAGAGGGGCTGCTGAGGTTACCAAAAATCATCACATTTATATTAAAAATGTGACAGCATTATAATTTGTGAAACCAGTGGACAAAAAACACTGATGTAAGTTATTGGCAATAAAGCAACCGGGAAGAACTCTCTGGACTTTGGTTGCTTTCTTTATTTAATGAATACCAAAATCCAAATGCTTGTGAGGATGTGGGAGAAGTGTTATCTAAAGGCTTTTTTCCTCTATTTCCTTTCTTCCATTATAAGAGTCCAGAAGTTCTACTTAACCCTCCCAACTTCTCCTGAGGTGTGTGTGTGTGTGTGTGTGTGTGTGTGTGTGTATATATATATATATATAAATTTTCCATGAAAATTAAGCAGGAAGATAAGAACAGAGGCCACAGGTATGTTGGTTTGCTGCCTGGCTTTCTTACATTTTGCCTTGATCTACTGAAGGCTGGCAGCTGGTTTTTTTGGTGGATTCAGATCAACTCTATGTCTATATCAAGGGATCACTTAGGAATACCCACTTCATCATCAAAATGAGTCTTCAGCCCAGTAAGTATCAAGAATACCCGAATTATCTTCTACTCACTATTTATTTTAAAACAAAACAACTTTATCACCTACAAATTACAAACTTTAATGACACTGACTAAAAAGATGGTAAAGAGATACCTGGCTGCCAGTAATCCAGCCACCTGTGCCGAAGGGAGAAGTCAGAGTTACAAGGAGGAGAAACACATGCCTACAAGATTAGGTGTTTATCAAACTGCTTTGTAAAGCATAAGGAAGAACCTCAGTTGCAAAGGGGCCCAAAGAGGAGTGAGGCAGCAGAGTGCCTACTCCCCACAGGAAACTGGGGTTAGTTTTAACTATCAAGAAGTACCTGACTCAGAGGAAAGGAATTTGCTGGTGTCCCCACCAGCCCTCACACTGGATGGCCTAATCGCATTCTGTTGATTGGCAGTTGGGGTTATTCCAAGGAACTACCTGACTCGCCTTCATCAGGACTTGGAATTCCCTTCTATGTAATTCTTGCTGACTGAAAGCCTCAGAGCTAAGCAATTAATCTATTTCTAAGGCAACATGAAAGCAAGTATAAATCTTTACCCATAACTGATGCAAGTACTTCCCATTGCTTCTAGACAAAGAGATGATGCCAGAGGATGAAGACATTTTTTATGTGACATGGGACCATCTCATCTAAC